CAGCAGGTGCCTCTGAGAACAGCCCCACCCTTCAGGAATCCACTCTGAATATCAAGACTGTTAAGTGCTCTCCTATTTCTTCAAAGGGCAGAAGGACAACTTCTAAGTCTTGAAAAACTGGGCCAAACAGCCTTGGCTTGTTTAAAGCAACATTCTATCAAACAGACACAGGAGCCTACCAGAGTCAGCTCTCTTTTGGAAACAGCCTTGAAACATACCATACAGAGAGGACACGGGATCCTTAGCACACACCCCACTCCAAGGAGTCACATACTTAACACTCTGTATGAGACACATCAGAGAATGAATGTGACCAGATTCCCCTAGTGATCAGCAGCTGGGGTCAGGTGGAGTCTTTTGCCTTTAGTTTTGTCTTTAGTCTGTGATTGCACCAAATCACAGAGTCACCCGTGCTTCCCCTGACGCTGCCACGCGTTGTCCTCTACCAAATGCACTTGGTTCTTATCAACTCCTCACTCACCCCAGGCGCCCCTTCTTCTATTTATCCCCATTTATGTGCTCTTCCGAGGATGCTACACACATTTTTTTCATTCCTCAACGTGATGAGAGTGTAGAGTGGCTGCAGACGGCAGGTGAAGCAGAGGCTGCGAGAGCAGAACTGTCCTGGTCACTCCCTCAATTTCTCTTAAAGGCTACATAGTCTGTGCAAGTAAGTGGAGAAATCATTGCACAAGAGCTGGGTCCTCTGTAAGCCCTGAAGTCTCTGTCTGCTGAGGACACACCCCACTCCCGAGTCCTCCCTGATGTCTCCTACGCTAATGCAAGCTGCTTATTTCTGTTATATTTAATTATTGTTTTATCCCAAGTTCACACCTCACGACTTACTTTCTTGTCTTTTCTTATCAATCAATTCTACATGATAATCTTAACTGTAAGAAAGTTGTATTGATGTGACTCAAAATAGTAGAATATGCATAACAGGATGAGCACCTGGGCAGATGAAGATTCAGAACTCTGTAAGAGCTAGAAAAGGGAACAGCCCAAGGTCTGGCTTCTAATAAAACAGCAGGAAAAATATGAATAGAAAATAAAGCTACCAATAATTCTCATTAATTTACTTTATAATAGGCTAACTGAAAACTTAACTGTTTTCTGTACTTGATTTTAGCCAAAAGGCTGAGAACACACACACACACACATGCGTGCACACACACACACACACACACACATCAATTTCCGTTTTCAGAGTTTTGCTGTCATTGTTGTTAAAGTTCACTATTTCTTTGAGTTTAACTTCTCTACTGACTAGCGACACTGAGCACTTTTTAATGTATTTGTCAGCACTTTATCTTCATTGGAGAAATTGCTACTTAGCTCCTTTATTTACTTTTGAAATAATTTTATCCTTATTTATCATTAAAATCATTATTTAGTTGTTCATTAAACATGTCAGATATTAACACATCACCAAATATGTAATCTGAATTTTTCCCCAATTTTGTGGGTTATTCTTCACTGCAATGATAGCTGCCTGTAATACACACGTTTAGGTTTGATGCAGTCTGGTTTATCTATTTATTGCTCTACTGCTTGTTATTCTGCTGTCAGACCCAAGAGAAAAAGGAAGGAACTCAGTGTCGGCAATCTTCCTGCCTCTCCAGTTCCTCTATTTGTTCCTTTGATCAACTTTGGTTAACTTTCTGTGCACAGAATAAGGCAAGTGTCAGGCTTCATTCCCTTCTAAGGTTTATCCAGCTTTTCCTGTACCATCTGTCAACACAATTACCCTCCTGGGCTATGTTTTGGACACCATGTGTTGAAGGGGTGGCACTATTGGGAAGGACGGAACATGTGAGACGTGAGGCCCAGCAGCAAGCTGGACCCCTTTTTAGTCACAGGTGAGCAGTTTCCTGCTTCTGAGTCCCTGCACTCCACCTGCCAACCCCAGAAGAGGTCTGAAAGCAATGTGTTTTCCCGATCATATTCTGGAGCCTCTAAAACTATGGGCTCAAATAAATTCCTTCATGTTATAAGTCATTCCCTCAGGTATTCTGACAAAGTGGTCAGAGCTGCCCGACACAGTGCTCTCGGCACCATCGTCAAAACCATCCTGACTGCGCGCACACGAGGGATTGATTAGCTGGAGGCTCCTCACCACTAGCGGGGTGCATCCTGACTGCGCGCACACGAGGGATTGATTAGCTGGAGGCTCCTCACCACTAGCGGGGTGCAGGGTGCAGCCTTCAGCCTTCACGCCAGCTCCACAGCTCTCACTCGGTGCAGGGGCCTTTACTTCTTTGACTTTCTTTTCAAAGCTAGCTTAACGTTTAGTGGTCCTAGAATTTAGGATGGATTTTTCTGCCTCTCTAAAAAGTGTTGCCATAGTTTTAATGGAGAACATTGAATCTGCAGATTCCCGGGCAATCTTAACCTTCTAATTCCAACAAATGAATAGGAAACACCTTCTCATGCACCTCTCTGCTCTACTTTGAGCGGCAACGTGCAGTCTTCAGTGCACAAGCCTTTCACTGTCTGACGTCATTCTAAGTGGACTGCAGCTTCTGTTCTCCCGCATGCAGAGGCCTCCACTGCTGCACACACCGTCTGTGTGTAGTGAATGGAGAGCCTCAGGGTGTAGTGTGGAACCATGGAGTCTGTCAGAAACCTACACAGATCAATTCAGAGGTCATTCAGCTGCCTTGATCACAATGATAAACTCCTGAAGTCACTTGAGAAACCTAGGTGAAACCTACAGATAAATCACGTAACGAAGCCAGCCGCACCGCTATTCCACAAAATGACAAGCAAATAAAGCCAGGCCTGGAGTGCAGTCCTCAGTCCCCAGGGCTTAAACAGTGGACACACACATGCCCATACATGGGACACACGCACGCCCATACAAACATACAAGCATAAACATAAATAAATGTGATCTTAAAACATTTGAAGTCACTAAGTTGGAGGATGGTTCCAAAGACTACTGAAGCAATACTAATCCATCTTGCTTGCTAATCCTTATCTGTGGTATTTCATCCACCACTCAGTGTGTGCTCATTTTAAACCATCCAAGAGGTTAAGATTTATTCTGAAACAAGGCAGAATTCTTTGATGCTAAGTATTTTACATTATTCATCATGCTCATGAATGATTTACAGTTAGAATGTCAGCAATCTAAATAATTTATGTATTTTTAAGTAAATGGCTTAAAATGAAATTTTACCAGAACAAAAGAAATACAGATTTTGTGTTTCTAAGTTCTTTAATGTTGAAAAATTGGTAAACAGTACTGTACTGTTTTCAGGAAAACCAATGGGTCACAGTGTTGATATTTACTAGTAATTATTACTAAATTTATTGAGGAGAGATTTTTAAAACTTTTAAAAAAGATTTACTTATTATGTATACTGTGTTCTGCCTGTAAGGATGTCTGCAGGCCAGAAGAGGGCACCAGATCTCATTACAGATGGTTGTGAGCCACCATGTGGTTGCTGGGAATTGAACTCAGTACCTCTGGAAGAGCAGCCAGTGCTCTTAACCTCTGAGCCATCTCTCCAGCCTGAGATTTTTAAATATTAATACCTCATATGAAAAAACCTCAAGTAATGAAGACATTTAGGAGAAAAGTTTTCAAAATCAAAAATATTTTTAATCCCAGGACAGCAAAACGGCCCAGTGCGTAAGGGCCCTGGTGGGTAAGGCCCCAGGAGGTAAGGACCCAGTGGGTAAGAGTCCAGAGGGTAAGGCCCCAGGCGGTAAGGCCCCAGGGGGGGGGGGCCCAGGGGGTAAGGGCCCAGGGGCTAAGGGCCCAGAGGGTAAGGGCCCAGGGG